GGCGTCTCTCTGTGCCCCCGCCGGGTGAGGCCTGCAGGGGGGCCGCTGGGCCCCCCGCGTTCGCCGGGCCAGAAGAGACGCCGGGTCCCCGTGTTGGAGAGGACACGTGTCCCGAAGCCTTCGCTCGCCTTTCCCCGGGCGGTTTCCGGGCGTCGGAAGGGCTTGCCTCGGCTTCCTCCCCACGCCCGCGGTGGTTCACCTTTTCCACGGACAGGTGCAACCTGATTCCCGGGTGCGAGGAGAGGCACAGGAGCACAGCCACCTTCTCAACACCTGCCCCGCAGCCGCCGCACCAAACGGTCCCTCTTTCGTCCTAGGAAAGCGGTGAGCGGACTTGACGCAGCCTGCCTGGGGTATGTTCAAGTCGAGGCCTGAATCAGCCTTTCGCTGGACTAAGTGCCCGGAGCAGGAGCCTTTGATGCTGCTGCTGACTCCACCTGCCTCATAGACTTATAATAGCTTTAAAAAACCCCATTCTTACTTTATGCTGGCTCTTAAAGCCTGGCTGGGAAAACAATTGGGATCTTTGGCAAAATGGTTACTCAGCAAGGACTAGAATCCTATATAGCCCTTTCCAGCTTTAATGACCTATCGCTCCAAGACGTTTGAAACGTTATCCTTTGTGTGGTCAGCGTTTTAAAAGGGGAGGGGGAATAGCCTTTCGATTATATTGGTACTACGGCTCCCAGAATTCTCACCAATGTAGGAATTCTGGGAATGGTGGTCCCAAGACATCTGGATCCCGTGGAAACCAAGTTTAGAACCTGCTTGCAAAGAACCCTAGGTAAGCTAGTCGAGCAAAACTTGTCTTATAAAATGATTAGTCCATTGCTTTCAAGTCCCTTCAGTCGCTGTTTGATATTTCAGTTACCAGTTGTGGTTGATTCATTACATCATGGGGGAGCAAACTGGTTAGCATGATAGATGAACTGATTTTTGAAGGCCACACCTAAGGCTGTGGAGTTGAATCAGAGGAAATGGTGTCTGATGGGCATAGGATCTGTTCCTCGCTTCCAGATGTACTAGGCAGCCACAGAGAAAGCATTCTAGGTTATGGGGATTGGGTCAAGTGTGGGGCAGGCCCCATAACCTATTAGGGGAGTTGCTTAGTGGAGGTTGCCTGGGATTTGATGGGTCTCTTCGCACAGGCTGCTGAGAGGCCTGGCGGGTGGGCACAGATGGCAGAATCAGCAGCCGTTTACGCAGTTACGTTTTGGTTTGGTTTCCAGACGCAGCAGAGAAGCCATGACAACGTTGATCCACCGAGGGAGACGTGTGGATGTTGGAAGGAATGCAGACAAGCGGGTGGAAGGTGAAGAAAATGCCGCGGTGGACAAGACTTTGGGCGAGGAAGACTCAGGGGACTCCAAAGACATCCGCCTCACCCTCATGGAAGAGATCTTGCTCTTGGGGCTGAAGGATAAAGAGGTAGGGCCCTGCTGGATTTCTCTCCCTTCTGGTCCTCCCCTATTTATTGCAATTCCCACCCTAATGATCTGTGTCATCTCTTTTTCCAATAAGATCATCTCAGGCCCCTGACAATGTGCAGCACTTAGATTTGTCACTTGGTGGTTTGCAAACAACAAAATGTATTCAGAAACCATCTCAAGAGTGATACAATTTGGTAACAACACAACTAAAATGAGTAACGTCAACAAACAAAGATTCAACAGCAGTGGGAAGAAAAACAACAGTAGAGCTTTGCAACATTATATTAAGGGGGAGAGAAAGATTTAATCAAGTTAAGTCATCAGAAAGGAAACTCAAATTCAATGTCAGATTCTGATTTCTCTTCGACAAAGGTCATCCATGATTGAGTTGGGATTTTAACAATGTTTTATGAAGGGGTGGAGTTTATTATGATGGTGGTTGGCATTTTAAACCACTGGCAAATTGATCCCTCTGGTCCTTTTTTTTACCGGTAAACCAGTTTGCCAAGTTTTTTATGCCAACATCAAGTTTAATAACTTCTCCCTAGTTAGAAGAGTTTGGCTGGATTAAGAAGCGGTGTGGGGAAAACACTTCCCAAGAATATCACTGGGCATTGCTGGACCACCTGAGCTTAACTGATCAGGGTACCAGCCCACTAATGTATTCCTGGCTATCAGTCAAAAATGTAATGTTAAGTCCTGAAACGTTAATTTAACACCATTGGCAGGAGAAGAGAAGCTTTTTCTTGACTGTTCTCAACAAATAGAACCCAATTTAATGAAAAACCAGGGAGCAGCAATCTGTGCCAGCTCGGCTCTCCTCCTTCACAGAGGAACAATAGAATATCGGTGCCCATATCTTTGTTGATCGAGCTCACGTGCAGAAACTCCCATAACTCTGGGGATCAACAACCGAAAACACCCCAGAAGAGTGCTAAAATGCTTCTTTCTAAGAATCCGAAAATTGCATTTGGAGGCTGTTCATAACAAAACAGCAATGTTAAGCTTGGTATATTATGTATGTAACTCCTTGCCCCTCGGGAACACGGTTTAAATTAATTTATAGAGTCATAATTCCAGCTGTACTTGTTCTGTAACTTTCTCTCAGGAGCTTCATTTCCCACTATTCTGTGGGTTTAGACCCCGAGCGCACATTGGCTTTCTTCAGGGAGAAGCTGGTGCTGGCTTTTCTTGATGGCATGTTAAGCATATGGATTTCTACTAATGGTTGCCAGATGTAGGTTCCATCCTAGGTCTCCTTGTAAGCTGCTTGTAATAGACTGAGTAGAAAAGGGCATCCCTGAGCTGCGTGATTGTAGAAAGAACGCCTGGATTTTTTTTGCAGTACGGGAAACCACACTCCCAATTAAATCACCAAATAATTGGTGGGATAGACACCTTTTTACTGTACTTAAGGACAGGATTCCAAAGATCTGTAGCTGGGTTTTAAAATGCCTTTCTTCCTAATAAAAAGGTGTAGCAGAATCCTCTATTGCATTATTTGACTGACAGAAGTCTTAGAGGGTAGATGGGCAGTAAGGTTGTGTCCGGCCTGATATGGAGAGAGGAGGAAATCAACTCGCATCTTAAGACAGAAGCTGGACCTGCTACATTGCAATGGTGGAAGAAAAGTCCACTTTCTTTTCCTTTTATTACAGTATGATTTTTAATAAACGCTTTAGGAAAAAGAAGAGACAGAAAATAAGAAAAAAAAACTAGAAAAGCACAGACCAAATAGACAAGAGATGTATAAGCATCGTAACATTGAATAAATTGAGTACAAATTTTCAAAGTAACACGGAATTCTACATACTTAAATATTTTACGTCATTTAGAAACTACAGATTGTTGTTAAAGTCTCATTTTTCTTCCATTACTTTCGCGAACTGTGTAATGGTTTAATTGGATATTGAGGAGGAAAGGGAAGTCGATGTTTTACAAGTGTTTGCGTATTTGAGATTTTGGGTTGATGGTAATTCATGTGTATGTCCTGGTCATACAGGAACTGTGATCTCTATTTGTTTTTCTAATTAGTTTGAGTCACACTATTCAGCCATATGTTCTCTGCCAGAATAATGTACAGTGTTGTTCCCAATATAAACTTCCTACCTGTGCTGTCAAAGTTGGAAGTAGTAATCTAAAGAAATATATTATTAACATACCTGGAGCTTTTTTAAATTATGGCTAGCATACTTGGTTACTAGGCATAGTTGCAAAGATTGTAGTCATTATCATAACTTACTTAGAAGTACGTTGTGTTGCAATCACCAGGCCAAAAAAAGTTAACAGGTTAAATGCAATACTGCTGATTTTTGTCTCACTCTGGCCTGATGCAAGAATGAAGGTTGTAAAATATTACGTTGAATTCAGATTGTCCAAGTGCCAAGACTTAGTATCTTGAATTTAAAATTGGCAGAGTGAGATATTGTCTTCTACTCAGTGCACGTTTTCTGAAAGCCGTTTTTCCCCCTGAATTGAATGACAATTTTGTTAGATGCCGCTCTCTATTTTTATACCCTTTTATTAAGAACTGGTTTCTGGCCTTTTCATCATGTTATTAAATTGACAACTAAGGGGCGGACCTCTGTTTGATGTTAACGTATCAAGATGTATAATGATTTTGCTAAATGTGCTGGGGAGTTCGTCTGTTGGTAAGATCTGGCAGGACCGTGATGGTCTGTGGTAAAACAGCGAGGCCTGGGCGTGCAGTTTTGGAACTACTGAGCTCCCTTCGTTGACCTCTGCTTCCTTCTTCCTCTCAGGGCTACACGTCTTTCTGGAATGACTGCATTTCCTCGGGGCTGCGAGGGGGCATTCTCATTGAGCTAGCCATGCGAGGAAGGATACAGCTCGAACCACAGTCCATGAGGAAAAAACGGCTACTGGATCGAAAGGTAAGGTTTTCCTCCTCTGTTTCCCTGCACTCTTAAGGGCTGCCATGCCTCGGACTTAGGAAATCCACCTCTTCAGCGCGTGGACCCCTTTTTCCTTTCCCATTTAGGTCCTCGTGAAGTCTGATGCCCCAACTGGAGACGTTCTCCTTGATGAAACACTCCGCCATCTCAAAGCCACTGAGCCAGCCGAGACGGTGCAGACTTGGATTGAACTACTCACAGGTAAGGGAGAGGGGATGTCTGCATGGCCCACCTGCTGTCTCCACCTCTCTGATCACGCCAAATGCTCGCCATCCAGCTGCCTCTGACGAATGTGTGGAAACAGCTGTGCGTGGAAGATACTTCACTGGGCCTGCCGGTTTCTGTGGCTGGGGTCACACATTGCACCGAGCCCGGGTCTTGTTGAATAAATTGGAATTGGCCAAAGCCCGCTCAACTGTAAATCACGGTTTCAAACCACAAGAGCCCAAATCAAAGAAGCAGAAAATCAAGCAACCACATTATGGCTTAGTACAATGTGTAGATTTGGCCAGAATGAAGACTGGGTGGATTATTAAATTTTTGAAGAAGCCAGCATTGGCTAGGTTCACAGACACGCTAAACTATAAATAATTGTTCAGAAACTGCCATGACTAGGTTCATCAGCCCAAAAGGAAGAAATCACATTAGGGTTTACGAAAGAGTTGTGATTCTGGCCATTGACTCCTTTTCAGGAGCTCCCAGTCAGCTCTGAAGCTTTGTCCAAAGTGTTGGGTGTAACGTTACCCAGAGGCGACCGAGGAATCAGCTTGTAGCAGCTCCCAGATATCAGTCCACGTATTTTGGAGTTCTCCTTCTTCAAAATCTAGGATTGAAGAGAATAAAGCGGGAGAAACAGCTTCAGGCTGGCCTGTCCAAAGCTGTTGGGGGCTTTCTTCATATTTGCCTGCTAGGTGAACTTTTCGATCCTGGTAGAGGGGAAAATCACGACTAAAAACGATTCCCTCCCTTGTAGGTGAAACCTGGAATCCTTTCAAGCTGCAGTACCAGCTCCGCAATGTCCGTGAGCGGATTGCCAAGAACCTTGTGGAGAAGGGCATCTTGACCACCGAGAAGCAGAACTTCCTCCTCTTCGACATGACCACCCACCCGGTCACCAACACTACGGAGAAACAGCGCTTGGTGAAGAGGCTCCAGGAAAGTGTCCTCGACAGGTGGGTCAATGACCCCCACCGCATGGACAGGAGGACTTTGGCACTGCTGGTCCTGGCCCACGCCTCTGACGTCATGGAGAATGTCTTTGCCAGCCTGGTGGATGAGAAATACGATGTGGCCATGAACAGGTCCAAGGATCTGATGGATAGGGACCCTGAGGCGGAGGCCGCCAAGGCGGGGGGCATGGAGATGATCTGGGCTGTGTTGGCAGCCTTCAACAAATCCTAGGTCCTCCCGGCTGAGCGAAGTGGTTCCAAGTGGGTTTGGCCCTTTTTCCTCCAGGAACGAGCCTTTTGCTTGGTGGAGTCTTCCCACATTCCTGAGCAAGAGGCTCTGGTGACTTCTGCTTGCCCTGCCCGCTGCCGGACATTTGTCGTCGGGCCTGGTGAGCTATTCTGTTACAGGGAGAGCCCTACCTTCGCCACCACCTTTGTCACATCCTCTTCTTTGGATCTGGGAGCAAGCCGAGAAGTTTGTGCATTGCTCTTCTTCCTGATCCCCGGTTCATTTTTTTCCCTAGATCCCAAGTTAAGAATGAAGGCGGGCCTGGGCCTGGTACAAAAGGATTGAACGGTGGTTCTCTCCCTCTGCCCCCCTCCTCTTTTCTCTCAGTTCACATCCTCCTCTTGCAGTATCGGGGAGGAATTAATTTCGGGGTGTGTGTGCGCTTTCCATTTTTTAATCTCACGATTCCAACCTCGGTTTTTGTCTTGCCTTGTTTTTCAATCAGAGTTCCTTTGCTCTTTTTTTATTGTGCTGTTCTTCTTGTGTTTGTTTAGAAAAGACCATTACAGCACAAGTCTCTATGCAATCTCTCGTGTGTTTTGTCTGTGTTTTTTGAGCCTCGAGGTTATACAGAGAATATCTGTAATGAGCAGCAACGCTCCAGGTTGATTTCCACTGATAAACTGCTCCTGTGCCCTTCAGTGAGATCAAAGTGCATCTAATTTAAGAGTTCAACCCTGAACACCAGTACGGACAGTGACTTAAGTTCTGAAGCCAGTATACGTGATACAAACTGGTTAGATTTGCATAATGTCCTACCTACTTTGTACAATTTTTTTCTCCTGGAAGAGGCAGGGGTAGTGGAAGCCTGTGATAAAATCATTGTATTTTATCCAACTCTCTTATGAGACTTTTAAGGTGTCCGTTGGCCTTGGGGGCGTACCTTTGAGCATATTTTCACAACCGTAAGGTCTAGGAACCCGAAGGTAATGACGCGGAAGCTGAATTCCAGACTTAACGTAAAAGTGTACCTTAATGCTTGTGATTCTACTCGCAACTCAATGTACTTTAGTGCCTTACCATGAGTTCACAGTTCACAGAGGTTGTTTAGGATACCTGAGCCACTAGTTAGAACTGACCCTATGAAGCTGCAATACTCAGGTTAGGCCTTGGTTGCTCAATGCCAGGGCTGAATCTGCAGTGTTTCAGGACCTTGAGAGGCACGGTTTCTGTGGATTGTGGAGTTATAGTCTCTGGAAGCCACTGCCTTGCTATTAAACTCTTGCCCTTCCTTTCAAAGTTGTGAATGGCATTCCCTGCACATTTTCTTTTTTTTTTAAGTTAGAAAATCACGGGACGTTTCTAACATACAGAATGGGTCCATTTAGGACCATTTAAGTAGATGTTAAAGCCTGCTGAACGTTTCCTCAAATGTCATAGATGGAGGAAGAAATTTGGACGGGAAAATTCAGAAGAGTCTTCTGGCTGGCTGGGAAGAGTGAAGGGTTACAGAGGCTAGGTAAGTTGGTGAGAATCCCTAATGCTTAGAATCAGTCGCTAATTTTGTGCAGCAGAACATGCTGCTGGTTTCCTTCACACACTTCCAAGATACCTTTGACACCAGACTTTACCTCTTTAAAAAAAGCAGACAGACCAGAAGAGGCACCCCACTTTCCCACCGCCTCCCCACCGTCCTTGCGCACGAAGTAGAGAGCTGCGTTGTGCTTCAGTTTAAGGACGTTTACTTTCTGTGAATAACATTTCACCACAAACAGCTACAGGATGAGGTATCCAAGAAGAAAAACTTTGGTATAAAATGTACAGCTTTTTCCAACTTTTTTTTTTTTTTTTGGTCTTTTCGTTTTCTTGTTTACAGGCAAAAAAGACTTTGGTTTTTCTTTTAAGTTAGCACGGTTGACAAACAAAGAAGAAACATTCAATTTATTAATAGATAGTAATGCACTGCTTTGATTAAAAACATGACCACACCACTCAGCTTACACTGGCCAGGGAGTGAAGGGAAAGGGACGTTTTTTATGGAGAATATGTCCACTTTTGATTGATAGGGTAGTCTTTTTTTTTATGATCCTTCATGCTGTAGAAAAGGTTTGCCTGTCTCTGCCCATCGAGCTCTACTTAAAGCACAGGAAGAGCTATCCGTTTTAAAAGTTAGCAACCTGATCTTGCAGTAGAACATAAATTGGGGGGCAAGTGGTGGAAAATATATATATATAATTTATAAAATATAAATATATATATATATATATTTTTTTTGAACTGCTCTTACTACTGAGGGTCTGAATTTGGTAATACAGATAATTATTTCTGGTTCTGTTTAATGGTCTTCCCAAGCCGAAAGGGTTTCCAGATCTGTTTAAAATATTTAACAGGTTAAGCAACGGGGAATGGGTGAGAGTTGACGGGGAGAAATGCCTAGCCCATGGAGAGATCTGCTACGGGTGCAAGCTAGAAACGTCACTGAAGCTTGGTCTAAGCTCAGATGTCGTAGACTTTTCACGGCAGTCTTTAACTTTTATGCTTACGACATTGTAAAGCTTTGGTTTCTGCGGGAAACATGGAATGTGTGACCAGCAAACAAAAGTTGCTGATAAGACAGCTGATTCAGACTAGGAAACCAGAGTACAGAACGTATAGAAGTCTTTCCAGGACTTGTTGCAGAACCAGACTAGTAGGACTTTGGAACTAATTTCTGGGGTTTGGCAGGCTGTTTCCTCAATGCCATCTATTATCCTTTGCCAATTCTAGTCAGTGACGGTAATAATTTTTTAAAAACTTGTATTCTTTCTTTGCCACACCTTACACTTGTCAAACAGATGAGAGGCTTGGCTTATTAGCTTCCAGGTGTCATTGCTGCAGCTGTCACGAACTAGGATATGGGTTTGAGGAAGGTGAAAGAAAATCTCCGAAGAGCTTAACGCGCTGGTGAAAAGCCCGTGCTTTTCCGTGGAGCTGAAATTGGTTCTAATGGACTCGCCTGCCTTATCAACCATGAGATTTTAGAAGTAACCCATTTTTAAAAATGCATTGTAAACATCAGGGTTTATAAATAAGCATAGTTTTTGCTCCCTCTTTTGATCTGGGTCTTTGATAGTTCAGGTCATATGGACGAGTGCTAGAAAATGTGGGGGTTTTTTTCCCTTTGTTCGAACAGAATTTATGGTGCCAAAGATGCATTTCTTTTGAGAGTGAGCAAGTAGCGTTGTGCTAATGCAAATGCTAGGCTAAGATTTGTATTCATGGGTTATTAAACAAGCCTGAATGGCCTGGTTTGCATAGAGGTTAAGCCATCATGGATGGGTTCACACAGCACCCTAAACCAAAAGAAACAGGCCATATTAGGGTGTGTGAACCCAGCTGTATCTATACTTGAAGAAGTGGGCTGTGTTGTTTTTCCCCACTGCCAGGTTGTATTGATAGCGTGTTCTGCTTTACAGGAATTGGGCAAGGCATGCAGAATTTGGAGTTGTCTGGATAATGAACGCATATCTTAACCATAATTACCCAGAAAGCAGACCAGAGTGAGAAAATAAGTTTTTAAAAAGTGAGACATGTTCAAGATGGTAACACTCATATGGGAATGTTATCCTAACAACTTTGAAAAGCGAGCAGGCTCCGGTCAGAAATAAGCACTAACCGCTAGCTATTCATTTGGAAAATGCACGGTCAGTTCGTCCCCAAAGGATTTGTCCCTCTGGGTTTTTTAAATCTCTATTTTTGCACTGTTACTCTACATTTGAACAACGTTTTCTTGTTGTGAGTCACCTCAACCTCTTCTTTGGTAAAACTGTGGGATGTAAATGTAGTAATGTTGATTGCTGGTAAGAACATGGTCTGCCTGTTGTAAGAAGCAGGTGGTCAACCTCTATGGGGAAAAAAACCCCGAGTTTTCAAGACCTGGTTAATTGGCCAGAGTGTTTTTAAAAAGGAACCAGAACGTTTTAAAAATACATTATCAGCAAAGTGAAAAGTGAGCAAAGGAAAGGAAACCTGTCAGCCTCTAAGAAGATGGGAGAATAATGTAGAACTTTTCCCCCTCAATTCCATTAACTTCTATTTGGAATTGGCAAACAATGCACCCCCCCCTTTTTTCCCCTGTTCATTCACTTTGTGGCTCAGGGCATGTTCAGAAGGGACCTTCCAAATTTCTGACCCAGCAGCTCAATCGCTAAAGTGCATTATCTTAACTTCCACCTGGAACCCGGTGGCCGGAAAGTGGGGTGGGGGGGAAAGCACGTTGGGAGAAATTGGGTTTCAGCCCCCCCACTAAACAGGAAGGCTGTTGCCCTCTCTGCCCAGAGCAAGCTGAGAGTTCTGACGCAAACGGAGTACTTAGAGAAGCCATGCAAGAAAATAAAAAATAAAAAACGGAGAGAAATATATATTACAATGCACACACCCATCCACGCATCCTCGAACACTGACGCACCCACGCAGACACACAAAAGACTTCTTTTGCAAAATGAAAACAAACCATCTTTGGTATCTTTTGGTGCAAGAGACAAAGTGAGGTAGAATTTTTTTTTTTTCGGTAATTTTGAGAACATTTTGGACGAGGGGAACACCCAATAGGAATGGAAAGTGGGGGGAGGAGGAGGAGGAGGAAGCATCAGCGGTGGCAGAGAGAAGGGCCCAAGGGGTAGCCAGCGTTGCGCTCATGCTCTCTGCCTAGATCGCGACTGACTGCTGACCAGATGAAAGCCGAGCCAACCACAGCCCTTTTCCAGAGGCCGATTTCCAAGTTGTGCAGTGAATAATTAGCATTTGTGCAGACCCCGGGGGGCGAGGCGGGGATTGAAAGGGCTTCCCCAGCGTTACAGGATCCACGTTTTCCATCTCCCGATGAAGTGGCCTTCTCCTAGTATTTAGTCCATGCTACCTAAGCCTGTTTTTCCGTGGTTCTGGTTACTTGCGCACGCACTTTAGGGCAGTGGAAGAAGGCCAACCCTGCACACCCCTCCGAGCTCCTAGAGAGGCATTGTAAAATATAAAATGGCTTTGCAGTGAAGGCTTTTTGTCGATCACCGCGGCAGTGACAAAGCTCTCTCTCTTGAAATAACAGTGAGAACAAATAAAAAGTTGCTGGAGGGAATTTACAAGCACAAGCCAGGAGGTTTGGCTAGTTTTATGAGAATAAGGGGAGTTCTGCTGGATCCTGGTTATTTTCTTTTGGGAAAACCTGGGAAAGGCGGTCATTGGGATGAGGGGTGTCTCGGAGAGATGTTTGGCAGCCTGAGAAAGATGACCAGACCACAGAATTTTGCAGTTGAGATGGACCTTGGTGGCTACCCAGAGCTGCTCAGTATGAGTTGTTTCTTCCTCTTAGCTCTTCCAAGTAACTTCTTGGGTAATCACCTCTAGTCTGTTTACAACTCAGCCCAGCGAAACGAGCGACCCCTCGTTCAAGGAGGCTGGCTGTTGCGTCTCTGTCGGTCACTTTGCAATTCGGGCTTTGCCTGCAGGCATCGGGGTGAGAGGGGTGGAACGAAGCTGTGTAAAACCACAGCAAAGATGGATGCTTCGGGGGGTATTTTCCAAACGTGTTTGTCCGGAGTTGGCATTTTGTCAGTTGCCACCCGAAAGGGGGTTTTGGTTTGGTGGTGAGAACTGGGCTAGGAATTCAGAATGTAAAATGGAGCCTCCGTTCTAGAAAGCATTGCCTTCTCCACGGCGATGAACGCGGCCCGTTTTCCTCCCCCCAGCGCCCCCTCTTTTCCTTCGTTCCTGGTGCAAGGCAGCCCACTCAGTTACAAAAACTAGTTGGAAAAGGACCAAGCAAAGCTAACCTAGAATCCAGAAGTGAGTTTTCATTTGCAAAAGTTCATAAATGAGCGTATCTTGGCTTAAGAGGCCAGATTTTGGGGCAGTTGACAAGCGGCCCATCAAATTTGGGTTCACTTTCCAAATTTCCCAGTTTCACGGAAGTTGGGCCCTTCTCCCTGCCTGCCACAAAGCTTGGAAAGAAGAAAGGGGGAGAGAGAAAGCTGGAGGTCCAGAAACGCTTTGTGCAGCTTCCTTCTGCAAGGCTGTTTTTTCTCAAGCTGCACTTGGGGATGACTGTGGCTGGCAAGGCCAAGGGAGGAAGAGGAGGAGGAGGAAGAAGAGGAGAAGGAGAAGAAGGCTGGGTGGGATGAAATGAAATGGACGACAAGACCGTCCTGGGAAGAGCCGCACGATCTTTAGGGCCTGATGGAGACCACCAGCAGGAAAGTGACCACCTGCCGTCGCCGGGAAAAGAGCCGAACCGGATGGCACTTTAAATAAATTTAAAATCGTGAAGGAGGAAGGTGCCTGAGCCTTAATAGGAGCGCTGTCCTGCTTTCCGCATCATGAAAAACGGCACCTGCTTCTTCCTGCAAATTAAGTGCTGCTAATGGCCCGGCGTGGGCACGCCGGATTTTTGTTTCTCCTGGTCGGTTGGCCGTCTCCATCATGAATATTCTGACACGGAGGCCGCTTTGCTTTCTGACCCCTTTCAAATAAGGTCCAGGAGGGGAGTCAGGAAATAAGCGGGCAGCCCGAAGATGCTCGAGAAGGGAGGGGAGGTCAAGGAGGGCAGCAGGGGGATATTCAGGACGCAAAATTAGCCATCGGTTGATCTCTGCACGGGGGAAATTTGTGCTCATTTCGGATTGCTGTCTGTCCGTCCTGCGGCGGCTTACAAAAAAGACGGAGGAGTCCTGGTCGAGAAACCTGGGTTAAAAACCGGTCCTGCTTGCAAGAGGAGCTCTGGTTGACTCAGAAACCTGCTTGAAACCAGGAGAGAGCGGGGTGGTCTCAGTCCTTTACGCTTCATGCATCTCGTTGTTGGGGTGGGGGGCTTGGCTAAACCCACCTGCGCCGAGCGATGTTTGGTGCCAAGACTTTAGAAGGACAGGGCCCGCTTTGGGACGGTTTGCAGAAGGTCTGCTCCAAAGGTTAGGGCTTTCCTCCTTCCTCCATGGCGGAAGGGAACGGAGGGTCCCATTCTGGGCGTTCCTCCCCCTCCCCTCCCCTCCCCCTCTTTCCCCAACTTGGGGCCACTAGATGGCGGTGCATCCTCATTTGGGATCACGCAGGACAGGTGGCAGAATGAAACAAAGGAACCAGAAGTTCTTGGAGGCAGCCTTGACCGTCCTCCTCAAGGTCCTTCTGGAGTTTTCAGGGAGTCTGGCTGAAGAAGGGGTCCGCCCTCGCTGAGAACCCGGGCTAAAATTACAGGAAGGTCGTAACTCCAGAGCAGGATCCAGAATTGGTCCCTTCTCCTTTGGCCATTTTAACGCCTGCCTGGCTGAAGTGCTTCTCTTCCATCTTTGGTGCAAGAAAGGGGGAAGTTCGGTGCCTCGGCCATTACGCTTTGGTGCAAGTGACGGCCGAGGACGGGGTGGACCCAGAGGAAGGGGACCTTCCTTCCTCCATCCATTTGTCCAGACTCCGCCGCCGGGCGTTCATGAAGAAGTTGCTGACGGTGGACAGCTCCAGGCCGAGCTGTTGGGCGATGGTGATCTGAAGGTCCTTGGAAGGGCGTTGGTTCTCGTGAAAGATGGCGTGCAGGGTGCGGCGCTGGATGTCTGTGAAGACCAGCCGGTGGCGTTTCGGGACGTGGTTGCGGTCAACTTTGCTTTGGTCTTGCTCTTTTCTTTTGCAGGCTGGGGGAGACGGGCGGGGGTGGGAACGACAAGAAGCCGTTAGTCATACAGCATCTATCCCCGGGGGCAGAAAACACCTGCTTCTGAATCAGGAAATGAGCGCTAATGGCACTGTGGACAGCCTTCTCACCTTGGCAGATGATCGGCTGGCATCTCTGCCCCGTGCTCTGTTGCTGCTGCTGTTTTTCCTGCTTGGCATGCAGAAGCCCTAGTTCAATCCCCCTGTGCTGATTAGAGGGGATGAGACTAGCTGGAAACGTCGGTGGAGCCCACCCTGGAAGAACTGATGACCGTTCCCATGTTCCTCACCTACACTTGGCATTCAGAGTTTTGCTCCCTCCCCAAGGATCCTGGATGTTCAATTGAATGGGAAGTAAGGCCAGGGCTCCTCTTGCTCTATCGCCCCGGGCGTTCCGATAGACTGGCCCTCTCGATGGAGGCTTCATGGAGGAAAAGAGGCGTCCGGAGATCACCTTCCCTCCCAGCCTCCATCCCGTCTCCTTTCTATAGCTATCTAAACCTGTAAGGTCAAAGGCCATGTTGCCACTTAGATTAAAGCCCAGGAGTGAAATTAAAAACCTGGTGCACCCAGGGAGAAGGTTTCCGCATTAGCAGAAGGTGAAGGAGCTGGGTTTGGGGTCAAATCCACAGAATTTCCACTTCTTTAAGCTTCTAAAAGAGTTTTTTTTTTTTTTTTAAATACACGGGCAGCTTTGCCATTGGGGCAGATCTTAGGTCACCCCAGATTGCCTAGGCCAGTGTCGTCCAAACTTGGCCACTTTAAGATGAGTGGACTTCAGCATGGCTGGCTGGGGAATTCTGGGAGTTGAAGTCCACTCAAAGTGGCCAAGTTTGGACGACACTGGCCTAGGCTATTGCGTTTTAATTGCCAGCTGGTGAGTTTTGGACTTTCTGGCCCAAATTAATTTGGCTGGTGTGGAAATACATAGAGATATTGGAACTAACATTCATTGAGGTGGCTCTTTGGGAAGATGGAGGTTCATAGAGAACATTATTCCTTCTCTCTGACCCCGCTGATTTGGGCTTGCAATACCGCATCGCACGAGGCCGGCTAAAACTTAACCATTTTGTAGGATAGGATGTTGCAACCACAGACCTTGATCACAGCTTAGCGCAGCGGCCGAACCAGGCTGTGTGTCTGTTCAACGTGTGTGTCTGTGTGTCTGCTACGGTTCCTGTTCTGCTTTCCGCCCTTGGAATGAGCCTAGCTTGAAGCCCCAGAAATCAAAAAATAAAAGTTTGCTCTTTAGCCCGAGGATGACCTTAAAGCACACGACTGCACCGCTCTCTGCTTTTATGCCTTCGTTTAATGGCAGGGCTGGAGGAGGAGAAATAGGGGAGCAAGAAATTTAATGCTAAATCAATACCTCTGGTGACTGAAATCTTCTGTCTCCTTTCTTGCCTCCCAGGCCCTCTGGCTCCTTTGAATGTGGTCGCTTTCTCCAGCGAGAAACCCATTTTGGCATCCTGAGGGAGCCCTGCTTGCTGGGCAGGGCTGCCCCGCTGCTTCAAAGGGGAGCCAAAAGTTTGGCTGGGGGAGAAATACGCTCTTTTTACCCGTCCTGAATCCTGCAAATTGAGAAGCTCGCGTGATAGGACTGGGGAACTGAACCTTTGGACGTGGCGGCCAGTTTTTCAGCGGCGCTGCAGAGGGCATTTGGGCAAGAACCAGCAAGCCCTAAACTTGGTACCACCATCTTATCAATGGTGCCATTTTATTTATCTATCTATCTATCTATCTATCTATCTATCTATCTATCTATCTATCTATCTATCTATCTATCTATCTATCTATCTATCTAGACTAACACGGCTCTCCTCCTACGATGCTGAGTTGGAAAATCCAATTCTTTTAACCTGCGTGATGGGTTTATATATTCCAAAAGGGGCAATGCCGTTCAATTAACTAAGAACATACGGTATTTGGATAGTAGCAAAGTGAGCTAAAATGTACAATTAGGCACTTCTAAGACGTCTCCTTCTAAGATGAGACTTAGCAAGGCTATAAACGCTGAAGGAAAAGAAGGCCGTGATTTTGGAATATCGAGAGACACGAAATACGTACTTATAAACAGGGATCTTCTGCATTTTCGGCTGAATCATGGGAACCCTGCTTAGCTTTCCAAAACTAATTGCCAAGGACGGTAACTGGGCCTTCTTGGGCCTGCCGTGATGGTTTGCTTAACCATGGTTTATTGAAATGCCTGAGTTCACACAACATGATCAACCCAACCCAACCAACCACATCAAGGCTTAGAATGGTTGTGTGAAACCTGGTTGCGGCAGGACCACGATCAAATGCTTTCCGTACTGTACAAAGCTTCAGCCTGCCAAATTCTGTGACCGGCCCCAAAATAAATAGGCAATTGTTTTTCTCATCTGTTGCCAAGCCTTGCAGGTCGTTGATGATTTCTCTTGACACACGGCTGGATGCGAACATCAAAATAACGCATAGCGAGGTAAGCCATAGCTAGGGAATGAAGAAACGACTCGCTTGGGTGCAGTACGGTGTTAGAACGAGAGGTGATTTTTGCAAACCTAAATTATTATAAGCAGACTGTGGGTCGCTGTTAAATGTTTAAGGAGCTAAGATTTGATCCCCCAGTGTTAAAATCTGGCATGACAAGTCTTTTGTTTGAACGAGGAAGTTTCCAGGAGAATATCTAAAACTGGCTTAGGAATTGCAACTTTTATAGTGGGGGTCCTGGGAAATAGGGAATACCCAAATTTCAGGGTTAGGGTAATATTCAAAACTGCAACGCAAAGGAAGTGAGAGCAATGCATTTCTTTAATCTGCATCTCTAACAGAGAAAGGACGTTGGAATAAAAGTAGAAATTTGTGCCAAAGGTCTTGGGAGGCGCACATTCCCCCTGCACGTTGTGTTCTTCACAACAGCAACCCCGGCTGTGATTTGGAAGCCCCAACCTCTGCACGGCTTCCTTTGCCCCACAGTTGGCTTTGAAGGGGCGCGATAAGACCGCTGCGTTCCAAAAAACAGCTAAAGCCAGAATTTTAAAAAATAAAGTGGGCAGGATTGGGATAAAAACTAAAATAGATTTAACTTAAGCTTCACGACTAATTCCATCCACATATAATGAGTGGAGTTGTTCCCCGGGGATTTAAGAATTTCCTCTGATTGGGCTGGAAATGATGTTTTGGTCCTAAATGGCTTGGGGGCCATTCTTTAATGTTCCTGCCAGAAGAGACAACACCGTGGGCTGTTCGGTCCTGTTGCCCCTTGCTGTTTGGGTTGACGTTAGACTGCCATAAAACTACTTTCCTTCCCCCCGGGAGTTTCCTGAATAGCTACCGTCCCGCCGTTTTAGGCATTTCTGAACAGTGGCCCGTTTGCAGAAGGCTGAAAGTAGACTGCTTTGGAAAGCCAGGCTGAGCCTCCATGCGTGATCAGAAGGTGGGCCTTTTTGGTGTTGGCACCGGGACGTTTGGGGATTTCTTCTTCCGACGCCACCCCTCTTTTTCCACCTTGATGGGAAGGAAACTCTCAGGCTGGTTTTGCTTAAGGGGTCTGTTTTAATCTGGTTATTGCCTCGTTTTTTTAAAGCACCTCGTCTCTAGCGGAGGGCGATTCCTTTTAATATATATAGATACACACATATGGCCCTGTAGAGAGAGATAACCGCTTGGCTCCTTCTGTTTTCGTCAAGCGGCTTTGCGTTGTCAAACATGGCGTGAATTGAGCCGAAGAGACACCCGACTAACCGATGTTTTTAATCGCCTTTGCGCGTGGACAGTGTTGTGTGGCCGGCTGTCAGGCCAGGGACAGCCTAGAAGGGAATGGGCGTCCGTGTGCCTCAGCCGAAAGAGAAAGGAAAATGCAGATTTTACAGATAATAGGAACCATCGTCCTGCGCCGAAGCGGTGGGGTTTTTCTTCCAAAGTTCTGATCTGCGCTCCTGTCTTGTGGCCGTGAAACGTGACAAGCCTGTTTTGCTCTGCAGCTCTTCCCCAAGCAGCCCCCCCAACGCTCTGCCTTTGCTACACTGCTCTGGCTGCACGCTGATAGAAAATATTGATCAGATCCCTACTCTATAGCTGCAAAGAACAGCCAGTTTTGCGTTAACCCTTGCAGGGCGGGATGGATGGCGAGCTGGAGCTCAGGGAAGCAGAGGCGTGGGGAGGGGAGAATTCCCTTTGGGGTGGCCACGAAGGAGCCCCGCTGCAAAGGCTGGGGAGCAGCTTCTCAAAGCCCCTCGGTGCCAGGCTGGCTCTCTTTCATGCATGATTTGAATCCTTCCTATCCTGGGGTCATCCGACTGAGTCGGCCACTCTGCGTGGGCACTGACCGAATAGATTCTTCTTCGGTGGCAGGAAAGGTGGAAGTCCGAGCCACAGATTGGCTGCTGCTTGGTTCAAAGCAGAAAGCCCTCTGCCATCGGCTTTTCTTGTACTTCAGAGCGTGCCTAAAATTATCTGGTAAATTATGTATTAGGTTTTTCTAGGAGCGTTGAGCCAAAAGGCGCTGGGAAATTCTGTGCCAGGGCGCACCTGCGTTTGCTGATTGCTCAGACCCACGTCTTCGGCCTCGCGTCTTTAAACTCTTGAAGACCCAGGGAGTCGCCACCCTGGGAGTCAAGGTATCTTCCATTATGATTGCTTTCGATTCATCTCAGGCTCCTGGTGTAGTTTTCACTGGGTCTGGACCAAGTTTGGCTGCCTCTAACCCAGGAAACGCCATTCGTTTGCAGAATGCTTCATTTAGGCACAGAAAGAGCACCTGATTCTGATTCAAACAAAAACACCAGGAAATTAAGGATCCTCACTCCTCTCTTCCCCGGCTCAGTTTATTCCTTAAAGAAAAAAAACTTTTCCAGCTGAACGGGCTTCCTGGATAATCCTCCCTTTAGGCAGAACCACGTCCACCTTCAGCCACGTCCTGGTGGCGGCAGAGGTGGTAAAAGATAAAGACGACTTCCGCGTTATTTTTCTTTTTCCTTTTGGTTTGATACAAGCAAGAATT